CTCAGCTTCAGTCACTTTCTCACCATCATAATGTAGCTTCTCTGTGTCCTTTCTATAAATACTTTCATCGTAATTATTCTAATGAACTCTCCTCTCTGGTATGTAGGCTCTATGAATATCAGATTGGCACCAAGGTCTCATCAATTTACAGTTAAATTGGTGAGATGTAATCATAGGTTCTATGCTAATAGTCTCTTTTCTCACACTTCTCACTTGTGGAAGTCTCTTCTGGCTTCTTGTTTCCTGGTTAAACTTTCATCCTGAGTATGACGATAAACTACATCCGTGTCCTAGGTAAGATGATAAACTACGACCAACAGCAAGGCCTCTTATCAGGAGGTTTTTTGAGGAGCATGGAACCACCTCTTAATTGCTGGTGTTCCCAGGTCCACCTTGATTCGGGGTGGTAGCACCTTTAGAGTCCCAGCTATGGATAAATAGTTAACTCCCAAACTGGGGTCAAAACACTATGAAAGTGTAAAAATAGGTTTTAATACCAGAAATACTTTGTAAAAAAAATATTATCAGCAATAAATGTTTGAACAAAAATAATACCAGCTATACATTTTTGTCTATATTTCTGAGATGACGTATTATGTACACTATTTACATTATTCAGACTATTGTCCTCATCTTTGTTGCCATATTTATTACAATGTTTCCGCTGTTGTACGCTTTGGCCTTCGTCAGGTGGTTGGAATGTCAAAATTCATATACAGATGTCACCCCAGTGAGCGAAATAAAGGCGTCAGTTCGACATTCCAACCACCTGAAAAAGGCCAGAGTGTACAATGGCCGAAACGTTGTAATAAATATGGCGACAATGACAAGGACAATAGTCTGAATAATGTAAATAGTTTGATACATTTTTGAAAAAAATATTACCATCAATAAAAATCTTGTTGGCACTAAATAACGCATTGAGGTGTTGTTTGTAAAACAAAACAAACCAAACCAGTTAAGCTTAATCTTCAAAAATTTAAATTCAGTATCAGTCATTATCTTGTGTCTTCTAAATTTCTGTTCTTTTATTGTTCTTACTCCTTAATAATGTTTTTTTCATATTCTTTCACACTCAGTAACCCCCTGCAATGTTAGTGGCTTTATTGCCTTGCTTCAGGTGAAAAGTTTTTTTTTCTAAAATATCGTCATTTCTATTTTAATTAAAACATCATTTTTGAAGTTGAAATTATGGTCAGGCTCATTACAAGAATGACTAATGCATTGACACCATTGTTTTGTTCAAGATTCTTTCCGTGTTCATATGTTTTTCTTAATTTAAAATCCTAGAAATTTCACCAGTGCATTTCTTGTACATTTTTTGCCATCTATATTGTAAATTCCTATTTTAGGGTGTTATGATTTTGTTATGTATTAATTAAATTTTTATTGTTTTATATTAACTTTTGAAGGACAAACTCTGTTACATAGGATGTTTTCAACTTTGTCATTCAATTACCCACCTTTAGTCTCATATATAGAATTTATATATCATGTTTTGCTGCAGAGTGGCATCCAAAAGTTCTAGAAACTTATAATGCCAGGTATCTTATTTAAAGAAAAAAATATTGGTAAAAATATCAGGGTCTTTATTTCATGGGGATAAAGATATCTGAAATGTCTTGCATGAGACAAGTAACTTAATAAGGGAACAAATTGATCTATTTCAATTCTCCAAACTTAAATCTAAGTATTTATGCATATCATGGGAGGTTATTTTGAGTATTAAAGACTACAAATTTTCAGTGCTGCAGAATATAAGATCAAAAGAGGAAAAATGCTTGATATTGTATTAAGAGGACCCCCACTTATGTTGATTTTGATTAAGTTAAGTGCAATGTTTTACCCTTATCTCTTTGTTGCTCTATCTCCAAATTTAGTGGCTTTACAAGTTCAAAATGTCCTTTTCACTGAACTGCCATTTTTTTTCCTTTTTTTAATCTTAGTTGATCTTTATTGATACATGAACCTGATGTCACTGATGGGGAAAATGCGAAGCTGTTCATCGGGGTCTGAATTCGGTGCACTTGTTGATTTCTGATGATTGGTTAGTTGCGTTTTCATACCACTGAACATCAGAGATTTCACATGTGCTAAACAAAGCAGGAATGGGAGAGGAAAAACTTGATCAAAGGTTTTTATCATTCCATCAGTCAGAGGAAAGCTAATTATCACATTTGACAGCATCCATTCCTTTTACATTTAACATTACATTTAAGTGGGGTACAAATAATTTTGAGCATAAATAGCACATTCCTTGTTCCGGTGTCTTAAGGAACCTGTTGGAGTAACAAAAATGTGGTTCTACAGAAGGATGCTGAGGATACAATGGACAGAACATGTGAGCATTGATGAAATTATAGAGAAAATGGAAACAAACTTATACTTCACTATTTACATTATTTGGACTATTGTCCTCATCTTTGTTGCCATATTTATTACAACGCTTTGGCCATTGTATGTTCCAGCCTTCTTCAGGTGGTTGGAATTTCGAACTGAACCCTTTATTTCACTCACTGTGGTTGACTGTTCAAGTTTCACATACCATGTTTAATGGATGTCAGTTATCAGTTATCGCCTGTTAATTCCCCTCTGAAAGTTCTCCACTGCCTTAACCAGGTATTGAACTCACACTCTTTGGGTCCTGTCACTAGATCTAACTAACACCTTTATCCACTGTGCCATGTGTCCTTTATTTCACTTGCTGGGGTAGACTGTCCTCAAGAACTATCATTACCAGCAATACAATTTTGAAGGAAAAATATTGCCAGAAACAGATTTTTGACAAAACAAAATATTACCAGCAATAAAAAATGTTGTCGGCATTAAATAACCCATTGAGGTTGATATGCTGTTAAACAAAATAAACCAAACAAAACTACACATCAGGAAGATATAGTTGAAATTTTTAGGGCACATAATGAGGAAAGAGTGCTTGGAAAATTTGACACTCTCAGGACTGATTGATTTCAAGAGTGACACACGAAAACAATGTATAACCTATCTAGTGAGCTTGAGTAAATGGTTAGCGGAACAATGTTTAGGAGAGATAAGAAAAAGACAAAATTCATTAAGATCTACAATTAACAGGAAATTGTGGACACACCTCATGGCAGAAGAAGTGGTACAAATATGTTTAGTAAAGATTAGTGTCATATTTATATATAAGACATTTTTGGGGGAGGGAGAATAGTAATGAAGGTTCTTATATGCCATCAAATGGTGTATTAGTCTTTTTAAAATGTCAACTAGCTTTTATTTCTCCAATATTGATCATTAAGATTGGCTGAATGAACTGCATTGAGTTGACATATATAGAAATTTGGCCATTTTGAGACTGCCAAGAAAAAAAAAATAATGACCTATTAATGCTCATCATCTACATTTTAGGGGCAGTAACCATTAATGGAGCATCCTGGGTAAGACAATAGACTACATTCGTGTCCTGTGTAAGACGATAAACTACATTCAACAGTAAGGCCTCTGATCAGGAGGTTTTGAGGAGCGTGGAACCACCTCTTAATTGCTGGTGTTCCCGGGTCCTCCCTGACCTTGGGTGGTAGCACCTGTTAGGGTCCCAGCTATGGGCAAATAGCTAACTCCCAACCTAGGGTCAAAACACTATGAAAGTGTAAAAATAGGTTTTAATACCAGCAATACATTTTTGTAAAAAATTGTTACAGGCAATAAGTTTTTGAAGAAAAAAATTATTACCAGCAATACATTTCTGAAGGAAAAATATTACCAGCAATATATTTTTGGAAAAAAATATATTAGCAGCAATACATTTTTGAAAAAAATATCACCAGTAATAAAGATCTTGCCGGCATTAAATAACCCAAAACAAAACAAACCAAACCATTAATGGATTATATTGTGTGAGGTAGAAATACCACCCACATATAGCTCTTACATAATGGTAAGACATTAGTGTCAATGGTGTCTTTATTTAGTTAATATCTTACCATTATGTTGTAGGTATTTCTGCTACCCTCTAGCTAGAAATATATGATTAATTTTCTGTGTGCTGTATCCCTTCAGGATGTGGGTGATCATGGCTCTCCATAAGTCTATTCTTTGTAGCTTTTAGCAATTGTTTTTTTTACTATTCATCCAATTCCCTCTTCTGCTATCCATCCACATAAGCTTGTTAAGTAGGTCACTCACAGTTTGTTCCTGTTGCCTTTAATATGCCACATGAATGTCAAATTTCCTAGTTCTACGTGCCATGTTTAATGGATGTCAGTTACCAGTTATCTCCTGTTAATTCCCCTCTCCAAGTTGTCCAGTGCCTTAACCGGGTATTGAACTCACACTCATTGGATCCTGTCACTGGATCTAACTAACACCTTTACCCACTGTGCCATGTGTCCTTGGGGACACATGGCACAGTCTACCCCAGTGAGCAAAATAAAAGGTTGAGTTCGACATTCCAACCACCTGAAGAAGGGAAGAGCGTACAACAGCTGAAACGTTGTAATAAATATGGCGACAAAGATGAGGACAGTAGTCCGAATAATGTACATAATACCATTATTTGAGTGTTCAAATGTACTAAATCATACAATGCTGCATTATCTGTTCTACAACAGATAGGCAATTATAATTTTTAATGCCCAAGAAGTCTATGAGAATGTTTCTATGATATACACATGCTTCAGCCGTATCCCCCATGCGTACGTACTCTTCACTACTCTTTTTATTCTTTTTGATTAACGGGAAATTGGAACAGAGATGCCATTTTTACCAACCATGTCATTTATGTAAACCCCCCCCCCGCCAAACCTGAAACCCACCATCAATTAAATTTGCAAATGAAGCATCACTGTAGGCAATAATCTTACAGGCATCTAGTTTGCCCATAATTCAATAATTAAACATTTAATTTTAATAAATTACTTTAATGTAATAAATAATTTAATTTATATGATTAATTTTAATAATTAAAATTTAAAATTTTTTAATATTTATGCTTTTGTTAATATCTGTTTTTTTTACAGAGGCAGCATTTCAAGGAATGTGGCCAGAATTGGCATTAGCTCTTGAAGAATTCCTTTTTTCTAAGCAGTAAGTGTCATTTCTTATTATCCACTTGTTTTGTTATTTCTCATTTGTCTAAGGAAATGTTTCTACACTTGAATCAGAATTAATACTGGCAAGATTTCTTCACTAGAAGTGTTTTTATAAGATTTGAGTCTTTTAAATCCAAACTCTATGCATTTTAGTATATAAGGACTTTGAAAGTTGAGAAAAAATTCCTTGTAAATAAAAAAAATTAAAATATTGACCTTACTTACACTCGTACAATTGACCTCATCTTTGTTGACATTATCACAATGTTTCACCCATTGTGTCCTCACAAACCAAATTCATGAACCCACAATTTAACCCACTCGGCTATTGTTTCATGGGACATAATAACTGGTGACATAGTAATTGTGAGTTCATTCCCTGGGCCAGGCAGTGTGTATTTTAACAGAGCAGTACTAAAAAGAAGAGCGAGATGAGATCTCCCTAGACATGGGAAGTGAAATGAGAAAAGTTAACCCCAATAGATTAAATAAAGGGTTCAGTTCAGAATTACTTGTAAAATACATATACACCTGATGAAGGCCAGAGGGCACAATAGCTGAAACATTGTGATAACAAAGATGTTGACAACAGTCTGAATATAAATTGTGTAAATGTTGCTTAGACAAGTTTCAGATGAAAATTATAAAATTTCAAACCCACCACGTAAATTAAACATCAGCTCATCCTGGGTATAATGATAAACTACATCCGACAGCAAGGCCTCTGATCAAGAGGTTTTGAGGAGCATGGAACCACTTCTTGATTGCTGGTGTTCCCAGGTCCACTCTGACATGGAGTGGTTTCACCTGTTAGGGTCCCTGCTATGGGCAAATAGTTAACCTCTAAATTGTGGTCAAAGCACAATGAAAGTGTAAAAATAGGTTTTAATACAAGCAATATATTTTTGTAAAAAATTATTACAAGCAATAAATTTGTGAGGAAAAATTATTACCAGCAATACATTTTTTTTTTTTTTTTTTTTTTAAATACGTATTACCAATACATTTTTTAAAATAAATATTACCAGCAATATTTTTTTGGAAAAAAATATTACCAGCAATAAAAATCTTGTTGGCTGTAAATAACCCATGGCAGTTGATATGCCATAAAACAAAACAAACCAAATATCTCCTCTCAATGATCAATCTCCTATAATCTATGTTGATATCATCACTAATAAAGCAGCAAGCAATAAAAACAGTAAGACTTTGAGAATCAATATTTATTGGGCAGGTTTGAGTGTCTTGAATGTTAAAGAGTTAATAATTTAGATAATAAAATTACAGTCTTTATTTCAGGAGAAAAATCAATTTAAATTGACTTAATGTCTTGAAAAAATGGGATCGATAAATTGGTTTTGTGTTATTTGTATTCAGACCCTTTTTTGGAAATCTTCATGACATATGAGAAAAGTAAATAAATTTGAGGTTCTGTCAGTGCCTTTTATTGTAAATTCTCTAACACAAAAGACAAGTAGTAATATATAAAAAGATAAATTTGGTGTAATTATTTCCATTTAAATTCATCTTTTTATTTGAAATAACTTCACTTTTATATTTATTATTTAAAAGTCTAAACATATTGAAAAAAAAATAATTTCCAGTTTGATGAATAAAGTGGGTTTTGAAAATTATTTTTAAAAAAATTATTTTTTTAAGCATTCAAGTAGCAAGTTTCAGTTAGAAAAACAAAAAACTTCAGATATCAATTAGTTATGAAATATTTTCTCTTTAAAAGAAGCACATTTCTTTTCTTCTTTTTTTGAAAACTCGTTGGCAATTTTCTTTTTTAGTTTTTTGTTAAACGTAAGTTTTTTGTTTTAATTTATATTTAAAAAATTTTGTTTTTAAAATAAAACATTAATTTTCTGCATCTGGAAAATTCTCATTCCTCTTCTGAATTTGATGTCCGTTTTTTTTTTAAGTTGTTTTTCTTGCAGTTGCTTCTTTTTCTTTAGTTCTTGTAAAAAATTCTATCCAGGTAGGCAACATTATACACTTTGAATCAATAAAAAAGAAAAATATGATATAAAACTTTATATAAACCATATAAGCCAAAAAATATTTATCAAAAGTAGTTTAACATGATTTTATTAATTTATTTAAACATGATTTCTAATTCATAGAAAAATAATTTATGTAGATAAAATAATCTTACTTGTCACAATTTTTGGCTAAAGAGGTGTGCTTTTCAATAATAAACCAACATTTTTACTATAAAGTTTACTCAAGAGTCCTTCTTTTCTGCTAGTGTTCCTCTTTTCAATAGGAGATCAAAATTTTATTTAAATTAAATTTCATCTTTTACACTATTTATATTTGGACTATTGTCCTTATATTCATGATTGTTATCACAATGTGTTCTTCAACCTTCCTCAGATGTATATCAATCCAGGTAACCTAGAAGGAATTCTGAACTGAATCCTTTATTTAATCTCTTTGTTAACCAAAGAGCTGAGTTCCAATTTCAGTTGGGTTTGTTATATTCACTTACCTGCAAATACCCTTGGCAGAGATATGAATCCACCTCTTCTCATCCCAGCTATGGGTTAATTAATAAGACTTTTATCACTAAAAGCACTATTATTTTAAAAATCAAAAAAAAAAAAAATTGTGTATAAAACATTCAGATTTTGGTATTAAATAATCCATAGATATCAATATACCACTAAACAAAAACAGATAACCAGATAGAAAAAATGGATTAGAGCTCCAAAAAATGGATTAGAGCTCCAAAGATTATTGGCTGTTAACACTGATAATCTGATAACTTTCCTGCAGCCAAGCCAGTCCCAAATGTAATGCCACACATTCCTGTGGAACCTGTTAGTATGACTAAGGTGTCTGGGCAGCACACAGACTTCATATACCATCATCCAGGCTTGCACCTTAGATAGATCACTTCATTCTTGCCACCATTTTAACCAAACGGATAAATGGATACCTACTACATGAGAAGCAGGGAGGAGTTCAGTGATTATAACCGTTTACCTTAAATCTTGGCAAGAGTGAGAAACTAGATTTAATTTGCTATTTGCATATGTTATTTTGAAGTGAATAATTTTTTTGATGATTGTGCAACTGTGAATAACTAGCATTAACAAGCACTTATAGTTGCATTTATTCTGATATTTTTGAGCAAGTAAAAAATATTCTGTAGACACACTGCAATCAGTTGCATTGCAATCCCCCTCAAAAAAAATTTCGGATGCTAATTTCACATTTGAAGTTCCTAGAGGAGGATGGGCCAGTTATACTTGACGACACCATCCCCTTCTAGGCAACATTTGACAGAAGACAGTTATTAGGAAATATCAGCCGACAAGCTTTACATCTGTTTATCTGGAAGGTACCAATTCTTTATTCCATTCTTATTTTTTTCTTTCAGCCCCTCTCCACCAACATTATCAATTGAAGACTTTCAAAGAGATGAAACTGTAGACTGCAAGGTAAGAATTAACATTTACACTCCTCCAAATGCTGATAATATGCCATTATCATTTTTTTTTTTTTTATTTTTTACTTTTGCTTTTGTTTTATGCCGATAAGAAAATAACATTTTTTGTTTCATTCATGTTTCTTTACAGTCATGCTTCCATTGGCAGAATATCCTTGTTTTTCTTTTTCTTTTTGTTATTCATTATGCAATAATTTTTTTATAGAAAAACAAAAAAGATGGCAAGACAGTTTTAAAACTAAAAGCAACAAAAATTAAACATCTTTTGTGATGTAACTTTATTACAATTTATGTTAAGATGTGAAATTCTCATTATATGCTTTGCTATTCAAACCATGAAGCTCATCTTGGTTATTATACTAACAATGTTTCAGTCTTTGTATATTCTGGCTTTCTTCAGGTCTTTTGTTTTATTATATACTTTGTTATACAAACCACAATGCTCATCTTGGCTATTATACTAACAATGTTTCAGTCCTTGTACTTTCTGGCCTTCCTCATGTCTCTTGTTTTTTTATATGGTTTGCTTTTGAAGGCACAAAGCTTATATTGGTTGTTATACTTACAATGTTTCAGCTGTTGTACCCTGCAGCCTTCTTCAGTTGTCTTATTTCTCAATAATCTTTTTTGGTTTTTTGAACTGAACTCTTGATACAATACATGACTGTAGGTAGGTGTCATTTCTTTTTATCCATGCTCAGGGGAGATAACTCGTATCATTAGCAATTTCAAATTTAAAATGATATCTGCCAATCTAGTACAGTGTGTAAGTTCATGAAGTCAAGGTACCAAAGAGGAAAGTTCATTAGAAGTATTGCCATGAAAGTATTTATAGAAAAGGCACAGTGGAAACTACATTATCACAGTGGAAAAGTGATTGAAGCCAAGATGCCAGATCAGGGCCAATAACATTGAAGATTCTTCTTTGGATTTTATCAAGAATCTCTAGATATATAACAGAAGCACTAGGCTAGATGTGACCTCAATTAATGTGTGAGATAGATTCTGGCAAGAAAAATTGTCAAGCATGGCACAGTGAACCCACTTTCTTAGCAGCAGACCTAGCAATTTATTCAATATAATCCTTCCGCTTCATATCAGTAGAAAACATTAGCTTGAGAAGGCACCATGAGTCACTTTTCTGGTGATTAACATCAGCCATGCTGATGGATTGAAAAAAGGTTCTCTAAGATGATTAAAAAAGAATAGTTTCTTTTTGAATGCATTAAAATGAACAAGCCATTTCTTGCTCCAGTTAACAACTGATTGTTGGACATTTTCTACATCAGCTGCCAATTTGACTTTATTGAAGCAATCAAACTCGACATTAAAACAGATGTAAATAACTATGTCATCATCACAGATATAGAGTTGAGAACCGATAATATTTGGAAGGTCATCAATGAAAATTAGTATCAATGTATGAATTCTGAGAAAAAAGTATTGGAAATGTTGTTACGGTAATGGAGCTAAAGTATCCAGAGAGAAGCTGCTATATCATGCCTACATACAAAGTTATAATGTTTCTGCTCACTTATTTATAACAGTGGTTGGAAGGAAAGTGTGCAGAGTGTGGTCGTTTTTTGACATCACAGAGATTCCATCACTGACCTTGGCTTGTGCTGTAGTTTTTGGCCAAGGACAACATTCCCCAGGTTTGACAACCACTATATTTTCTAGATCTCATCCACTTGCAACTTTTTCTCTTTGAAAATCAAATCCCACTTGAAATGAACATGATTTCAAGATGTTGAGGAAATCCAAGTGAATGTGATGTGGCAGCTGCTTTCTATTCCCAAAAGAAAGTTCCAAGAATGCTTCTGTCAATGGAAACTATGCTGCATAAAGTGTCTGGCTTCAGAAGGGGACTACTTTGAAGGAGATTAAATGCTGCATTGATATGTGTTGTAGTTTTTGTTTTTATAACACCAGTGCTGATACATTTTAATCAAACCTGATATATCCAATGATAGAACCCTGCTTATTTTTATTTTATTTTGATCATTGCTTACTTTATTTCCACTAAATCTGTACTACCCAGCTGAGGGATTGAACTCACAATTGTTAGGTCACCAAATGCATAAACCAAGGCTTTAAACGTTGGCTCCTAAGCCTCATTTCCTTTGTCATCCCAGGGCCTTAGCACTATACCTTAATTAATTTTACTACAAGTGACTTTGTTTTTGTTTTTTTAAGCATTTCACCCCAAGCAAGGTGGGAAGCCACTAGGACGCAAGGGGTTACAGAAAGTTTAGAGCAAGATCACAGGGAAACAGGAATAAGGAAGGGAGTTCCACAGACGAGAGGTGCGAGACATGAAGCTATTAGAGTAGAAGAGACGGCTACATTTAGGAGTTTTGACAGTGAAGGGGTGAGAGCGGGATGCCAGCCTCGTAAGTCGCTGGAACTCATGACATCTGGGAACCAGCGAATGCAGCTCCTCAGAGCAATTTCCATGAAAGTATTTGTAGAACAGACAGAGGGAGGTGACGGCGCATCTGTGAGAAAGTGACTGTAGACAAGATGCCAGAGCAGGGCCAACTACATTGCATATCCGCCTCTGGAGCCTACAGTGTTTCATATATGAGGCAAGGATATGATATGTAGTATTTATTACTCACAATCTACCAGTGTGTTGTTTGGTACTTGAGGCCATTTTACAACCCCGAGTTCAACATGAGCCACACGATGCATGGTAGAGCACTGTATATGTAAAAATAAACAAAATGACTCCAAAAAAACAACAGTAGTGATTCCAAAATGAAATAAGACAAAATATGAAAAAATTTAAATTTTTTTGAAAAAAAAAATGTGTTTCTAGTGTACCATGATCTCAAAAAGTAATTGATTATAATATCCCACTCTTAATAATTGATATAGAATAGAAATTGGAAAATGACCATCTGGAAGATTGTGTGGGCCTTGCAGACATACCACCACAACCATTTTGTGTGTTGTGTGGGAACCAATGTGTTAATCCACTAGGAAAGTATATAAAAAGATAGAATTACTGTAAAATTAGAGATGTGATCAGGATTAGTGTATTGAGCAAAATATAGGATTTGGTTGTGAGAAACTGAGTTGAGAAATATGATAACCTGCACCAAATTCATATGAGATTATTCATCAATTTTCCTGGTAATAAGTGAAATGCTTGTACAAATAAAGTACAATGGAGGTCAGTTGTTGATCTTAGTTAAGGTTGTGACTAATTCAGTTTTTATAATGAGTGATGAACTTGACACATCCACTGCTGATAATGTAGTTATATTTTTCTACAAAACGACTGTTGATATGTTTTCAAGACACCATAAGATGTTGGTCCTTAGTGTTTTTGCTATTTCTAAATTTATGTCTATTTTTTCATTGGTTTTAACACTATGTTTTGACAGATTCAATTATAGTTTTCTTCTGATGTACATTGAGCAAGGAGTAGTTTTTTTGTTGTTTTTTTTTTACAGAAAAAGGTGATGACCAGATAATATTGTTCAGGAAGATAATTTTTCTCCAAAAATGTATAGCTGGTAATAATTTTTTTCTTCAAAAACTTATTGCTTGTAACAATTTTTTACAAAAATGTATTGCTGGTATTAAAACCTATTTTTACACTTTCACAGTGTTTTGACCCCAGGTTGGGAGTTAGCTATTTTCCCATAGCTGGAACCCTAACAGGTGCTACCACCCAAGGTCAGGGAGGACCTGGGAACACTAACAATTAAGAAGTGGTTCCACACTCCTCAAAACCTCCTGATCAGAGGCCTTACTATCGGATGTAGTTTATCATCTTACCCAGGACTTGAATGTAGTTTATTGTTTTACCCAAGATGCTCTATTAATGGTTACTACCCCCAAAATGTAGATGATGAGCATTAATAGGACATTATTTTTTGTTTATTTTTTGGCAGTCTCAAAATCTTGGCCAAATTTCTATATATGTCAACTCAATGCAGTTCATTCAGCCAATCTTAATGATCAATATTGGTTTTAACACCATGTTTTGACAGATTCATTTATAGTTTTTTTCAGGTGTACATTGAGAAAGGGGTAGTTTTTTTTTTTTATTTACAGAAAAAGGTGATGACCAGATAATAATTTTCAATTAATTTAGCATCTAGTTTCATTCATTCGCAACAATGAGAGCCATATTGATAATCCAGCATTTGACATTAACAGTGGGTGATTCTATATTTATACACAGCTGTGTGCTCTATTTCTCTCTTTGCTGGACAAAGAAATTTACACTGGCTTGAGTTACACATCAGATAGGAAAATATATGTTACTCTGTTTTTGGCAAAAAAAAAATTGACCTCTCTTTTCCCTAAATCTAACTGATTTATTTTTTATGACCTTTTTCAGGTTATTTAAAGCCAGAAATTATTTCTAGATTTTAAAAATTGTTTGCAGATAAAAATGTTTTATTGATAAAAGTCCTAATAATTAACCCATAGGTGGGGGGAGAAGAGGTGGATTCATACCTTTCCCAACAGTATTCATGCATAAGTAAATATAATGAACCCGACAGGAATTGGAACTTCCAGTCTTCCTTCTAGGCACTGACCAGGCTTCCTGTTGCTTAACTTTGGTGATCATACAAGAATTGGAATTTCACTGTCATACAGTTGTAAGCTCTCTTTTCGAATAGATTGTATACTTAAAGAAGGGTGTAGAAGGGAAGATTATTGACTGTTCACAAAATTTATAAGAGGTTTCTTGTGAAAGGCTAAAATATTTTATGAATTTGAAAGATTTTTGAAAGTCTTTATTTTGTCCCTAAAATTCCCTATTTTGAAAGATTTTATGAAAGTAAAATATTGTGGAAAATAGAAAAGGCTATACCAAGAATGTGTTCACTCGTCTGAACAACTCTTAGAATTATAATGACAATTTTCCAAAATTAAAGAACATATGTTCCAAAGATATCAAGAGAAGACCAAAATATTGTGGAAAAAAACAACAGCATAAAAAAATAACTTCATTAATCAAAAATAAGT